AACAGTGAAAAAATCCCACTGAAATAAGTAGAACAATTGTCTTCTTGTATTAGTACAACCGCACTTCAGCGTGGAATGCATTTTAATTTGTCGAAACTGGTGCTGACCATGGAATATATATTATGACATTTGCTTAAGATAGTTGCTGTATTTTTAAAAAATAACGACTCATTATGGCAACGCTGTTCATTATGAAACCCTTCTTTTGTTCCCCAAGATACATACCAACAGAAAGGTCACACTTGAAAGGGCTATTATGCATACTTAAACAATAATAAGAAGTTCTAAGATCTAAATTGGGCAGTGATTAAATAGACATCAGACCTACATAAATAGATCTACATAAATCTATACAATATACATAATACAGAAAGTCATGCTGGGTGACCCAAGTGGCCACTTGGGTGAAAAGAACTCAAGTTTCCCATAAAATTTAACTCTGTTTTATCATCAAATAGAAAAACATACCGAAGCACTTAGACCTAGTTATGTTAGATCCTCTATCCACAGCTGTCACAGCTGTGCCAGGGTATCTGGACACATCATTGTCATCTTGATCGAGCGCTGTTGTGTAAGAGAGCTCAACAATGTTGCAATCCTTAAGGAACCTATGAAAAAAATTTTAAAATCCTGTACCATTTAAACACACTGGTAATAGCAGTAGCTGGTTTTGAATATTCAGTCCTACCGGTCCAGTTCTCCAATCTGGCAGTTTGTAAATAATTATTGCTACTTTTTTTTTATTGCAACATGGAGTAAATAAGTGAAGGGTTGGGAAGCAAAAATGAGGCTTGAACCTAGGGGTTACTGATTGCAATTCTGCTAAGAAGTTGTGGGGTTTATTGCTACATCTGCTGAATAGCAGGGATATCCTTCCCAAACAGAACGGACAACACCAATCACATGAAGAAGAAAACTGACATCGACACAACCCCCCAAAAAAGGAGTCTAAACCAAAGTATCTCAGCAGAATGGAAAGGCACTTGGTAAAGACTGTGTTCAGAATTAAAATTACAGGATTACAACCAAATCTAACAGTATATATGTGGCCACTCACGCTCGCTACTTCTATAGGCTCTATTTACATCTAGTGGCTATAACATCCTCCTAGCCATGTAAGGCTGTGATTAAGCACATCTCACTAAAATCAAGGCAGCTGCTTATATTGAAAGCTGAATATATGTATAACCTTCATCGCACTGGGCTGGGAGTATGAAATAAGGGTTGCTCAGTAACACCCCCTTACACCCCTGGGGTCTAAGCAGGTGCTCAGATGGCGCTCCATGGCAGCACTAGCACTAGCAGGTTTGGAGGCTGCCACAGTAAGGAAGTGGAAGAGGCAGGAGGAATGAAGCTGACTCCAAAATGAGAGTTTACTGGACTAGGACTAAAATCTTCAAGCATAATTACAGAAGAAACAAGTACAGAAAACAAAGTATATCTTGCCAAATAAACATTTGTATCTGATGATATGACATGTAGCATATTGCACAGACAGCCACGGGCATGCACAGCTGGGAGCACACTGCAACCAAAGTGGGAAGAAGAGCTGGGAATTAGTCCACAAATCTGAGAATCGTGATTCTGAGAGCAGTGTGCAATTACTGCCGGCAGCAGCCAGAGTAAGCCCAGAACTCCCACTGAGAGCAGCTGCAAAGAAGCAGTAGGGCCAACCAGGACAGGTCCTGCCTTGCAACTCTTTGTAATACAGTCAGGAAGGGATTAGCCTTTACTCTTGATGTAATGCTTAGTTATTACATCTAAAATTTAGTGCTAAATATACAATTACTATAACACAGATGCAGTTTGCAATCTACCCTTCCAGATTCAGAAGCATTTAAGGCAGCAATAATCCTTTCTGTCAATATCTTAACACAACCATGACTAGCTGTAATGTAGTATTTTACCTAGTTCTCTAACCTGGTTCCAAAGCATATTTTTAGCACTTGGAAAATAATAAAGTAACAGCTTAACACTTATTTTTAAAGTCAGCATTAAGATCTATATATGGAAATTTAGTTCCAAATAACTGTTGTATTTTCGAGAAAGTAAAAGGTACTGTCCAGAGTGATGTCATTTTACCCTTCATCCATACATACACAGGTCCTGCTGACGTAAATTAATTCACCAACTTTCTCTCTCAAAAAAAGTGAAAATACAATCTTCAAATACAGATATAATGTTTTACAGCTGACAGCTTCTGAGTAACTACAAAAATTACAGTATTTATTTACAGACTACAATTCAAATACCTTCATTATGTTATTCTTATTCTTTCAGCTGCCTTGCCTTTTCCTGTGTTTTTTTTTTTTTTTTTTTTTTTTTTTTTTTTTTTTTTTTTTTTTTTGTTTGATTTCTTTTTCTTGTTCAATATATTTCTAAGCTTATTTAAAATGAAAAAAAAATTGAATCCTCACATTGTGGTCTCAGATCCAATTAATTAAAGGACTTTGAGGTGAGAAAGAAAGCATTCCTCCAAAGTATGTTTGGTAAATATTAAAAATCTAAAATGCACACAGACATAGCACCCACATCCTCCCGGATTTCATCTGCATGATGTTCAGTTTTAATGCATAAGCTGCCAGTAACTTAAAAGAGGTGCTTATATACACACAGCCGAATCACTATCGCAATCTTACGTAAGAATACAATAGCCATTAAATCGTTCTTTTGCAAACAGATTTACTGGTACTAGCTAAGGTGCCAGTTTGTCTTGTACCAACAGCAACAGAAGGTGTGAAAAGTTATGAAAAGCATGGCTCTGACAATGAAGGACAACGTTAGAAATTTAATGATTGGAACCGAAACTGGAAAATGCAGTAAGGCTGCTTAGCACTTCTTGAACAACCCGCAGTACAATATTACTTTTTAAAAAAACTCATTCACTCTCTTTCTTCAACCGCTTGTCCTCTTTTTCTGGAGGCAGAAATGACGCCAGAGTCAGATCTACCAGGGACTAAGTGGGCTACAGCAACTATTTATAGCAACTATTAGCAAGTTCTACTGCAGTTGTATGACAACACAGGTCCTCCATACTTACCCACAGAAAATTATCATCTTCCACTTTAAGAATTATGAGTGCTCAGAAAAGGTGTAGAATCCCGCAGGGATTATATAAATCTTCATTATGTGCCTAAAGCACAGACACTAAGGCACTGTATGCATGAGTAAGAACTAAAGTATGCCAAACCACAACTTATTAGAGGTAGACTGACACTTTTTTGGTCTAAAACCACATTATTGCTAGCCCTCACTCTTCAAACTAATAGTCCTTCACTAGCTGCACTAGTCATACTACAGTTAGTCCTTCACAACAGAAAGAGCAGACAAGGAAACTAGATGGATAGGACAAGATTTACTGCAGTAGTCCCATTTCCTTCTTGAAAAATCTGAATGTGCTTCCCCAACAGATACAGCTGGGATGGAAAAGGCTACATCAGTTAAATAAAAAATAAAAAAAGTCTTCTTGACTTTGTTAAGTAATACTAAGTTTACCCACAGTTGTTTTTTTCTCCTCCTTTACAAGAGAGCAGTTGTTCCTTCCTGCAGCAAGGGTGGCAGGAAACAGCAGAGAAAAGAAACATGCTGAAATAGCTGTCACTGTCTCCTGTCCCCATGGGAAGGAGAACCTTAAAATAGCTGTGGCAGTGCCCTGTACCCAAGGGAAAAGACTGACTATCCAAATTAAAGTCTCTGGATCTGGGTCTCTCCAGATAAGGGTCCCAATTACTGTTCAGTATTATTAAGCTCAATTTCATACCATCAGATCCTAGTGAAAGTTTCAAAGTAAAAACCATGTTATATATCACAGCACTGTTAGAAAACAAAATACGTCTTTTAGTAAATGCTATATACAGATTTTATGAAGGAAAAAAATTAGCCTTAGCTTAAATATCGAGTTCAATTTATATTCACATTTAACTTATTTTAAGTAGGTGTTTCTAATTTATCCAATTATTGGTACAAATATGCATCAGTAAAGGAGAAATGCTCAACCAAGATTCAGCATTATGCTATTCATAAAAACCATTAAGTTTCACTATGTAAACTCTAGGGAAAAAAAAAGAAATCACTTGCTTTGACAACTTCAGAGCAAAATAATTTTCTAAGGGATGTAACTATCCTTCAAATGAAGTTAATTTTATCCTATTTAATTACACAGAAACCAATTTAAATCCTGCCCTAGAACACTCAGACTACCATGCTGTCTTGCATGTATATGGTGGACATGTGTCATTTATTAGGCCTTTTCATTATTTTTGGGGTGGTGCTAATTGCTCTACATACTTATTTTTCCTTCTACTACAACAACTGTGTGTGGCACTGCTTTGTGCACCATTACACCATGCCCTCAGCTTTAAAATAAGAGTATTAGCCACTGTGGGAGAAATGACCTTCCAAAATTTCTTGTACATTTCTGAGACCTGCAAGAGAATTTTTCTGTCAACTCCAGACAAGCTGCTACAGGAAGAAAAGTTGTTGTGGTCAATATTGCAGCTCTGTACTGTAAATGGATCTGATGATCCCAAAATCTTAGGACACGAAAGGCCTAATATGTGCCTACTATGGGGCAGGAATTCAGTACTTGAATAGCAGCTCTTAAGGGACTACAATACAATCAAACATTTGATACAGAAAAGATTCCATTATTACTGAGGTCACTGTATTTGGTCCCCACTATAAACACATTTTATATACACTGAGTATGGTCAAAAGGACCACAAGTTAGGCAAAGAGAAAACAATCAGGGTCTGCATTTCTATTCTCAGGGTGCTGCTGCCTGGCAGACCTGTATTCCTGAAGTAGCGAAATAAAAAATGAGCATGTTCCTGAGAAATGACGAATAGCCACCAACATCAACTAGACAGGACTGATAATAGTTTGGGATCTTGCAAGATAAAAGTCAGTTAGCAAGACTGCTAAATGTCAGCTTTTAAACTCTTCAGGATTTATGTTTAACTATTTCAAGGGGAAAAAACCCACACATATCAAGGTTTAGACTTAAAATCTCCATATTGTCCTTGACAAGTGAGGTGAGGATTAAGTAATAGCTATTTTCTTAAAAAAAAAAAAAAAAAAAAGTAAAAATGAAGTATAATGAAAGCACATCAAGAAACAAACTGTACAATTTCTGAACTGCACTGTTTATTTTGCTGCTTGAAACCTAAGTGACAGTATGCCACTATAATTATGGGGTTTCGTCTAAACCTTTACTACACTGCAGGTACAGAAATATACGGACACATTTTTGGAGAATTGACATTTTGCAAAATGCAGCAAACATTTCAATTTATACATGAGAAAAGGAAGTGTTCAAAAGGGTATGCATTTCAAGTTATTGCAGGTTATTTCTGTGAGAGAATTTCTGCAGGTAAAACATTTAAATTGAACCAAGAGTAACGTGTCAGTGTATTTAAAATCATGACAAAAATCTTCTCTCTGGTCATTAAATGCCCTTCCACAATTTACTAGGATGTTGTATGTTTAGGGCAAGATGTCAATACAGCATAAATCCCATGGCATTTTGGTTTTCTTCTGGAGATTAAAGCTGTTTTTTTTTTCTTGGGATAAATGCAGCAGCAAAACACAAACCAGCTGATCAAAAAAGCACTTCTGCCATAACTCCAATAATTTCAGGGCACACCAACCGACAGTAGTTTTGCCATTCCCAGTTCTTTTAAGGTTTACATCACTGCACTGTTGCCTTAAGTACATTTGTAAAAGCTTGTTTTCTCTTAGGCCAGCTTGCTGACTACAGCCTGGTTGAGAGAATTTAGTTGGTTGGTCCATTTATCTAATGCAGTATACCGTGCACCACCTCTCTTCTGATGATCCAGTTCTAGAAGCTGGTTGACTTGATCAATTCGGCCATGTATAGTGCTAGAAGAAAAATAAATAACTGTGAATTGTTAATGCACATGGGAATAGGCTCTAACAATAAATCAGAGGTGAAACAAGAGGTCGTCTTACACAAGAGACACACAAAATCCATTTCAGAATTCAGCACTTTTATAATATATTGTCCTGGGTAGTGTTGCTGATTTACTTGTCATCATGACTAGAAATCAAATGAACTCATTCATTGGGCAATGCAGATTCTATCTCCCTAGCTATGACTCACACAAAGTCTGAAGCAATGAGGTAAACAGTTATTCGATGTCAAGGAATCATGACAAATTAAGATTTATGTAAGAAGAAATTAAAATATAAACCCATGTATGACTTATATTTTCCTAGTACATGTAACAAGTCTCCCTCCAAAAAAAGATTTTACAAACTGTAGTTAAGTGTTTCCAGTCAAGGAAAGCAGACTAATTTGTCCACTTGAAAATGTCCTCAAAAATACACATTGGTATAAGCAGCAATCACAAAGACCAATAATTTTCATAATTTCATAATAATTCAAGCAATTTATTATGTAATTCAGAATTAAAGTAAAAAAATGACACTCAATCTCTTTGTATAATTTTCTTGGCTCAAGTCTTGCATATATACTTTGCTGCTTATAAGCCAAGCAAATCCAAACAAGTTAGCATTATTACCTGGTGGTTCTAGAATCAACCAGTATTTTCACAATACACGAAAATATTGTTTTGTTGCCTTGTGTATACTTTAAAGTAATCAAAGACCAGTAATCAAAAATAAAGTACATACTTATCCAATATGCACTGCACAAGCAAGCTTTCCACATCAGCTACATCTATGTTTAACTCCTAAAAGAAGAAGAAAACTAATTATGCTGCTACTCTGTTTTGCAACATTAAATCCTCCCAATCTTTATTTTCATATACAGAACTTGGTTTCATTTCTGTTCTTCCTGTTTACAAGTATCAATAATGATCTATCAAGCACAAAAACTCCACCCGAAGTATATACTGCCAGTGATCAAGAGATCAGTAACCTCATGGAAAAGTATGAAGAGGCTAAATCAAAATTTTTGGAAGCTCCAAAAATTAGTTCCTTTGCTGATTTACTGAAAAACAAAACAACAAAAAAAACCAAAACAAGCATAAAACCCCTCAAGAAATAAAATAAAACAATAATTATCATAAAAGAATGAGTTTGTATTCAAAACCATTCAGAGGGCTAATTGCATCTTCTGGCTCAAGTAATTTCTATAAATGAAGGCAAGCTTAAAAAAAGCATACAGTTCTAATGAGAATTTAAGCATAAAAACAGGCATCTCTAGTATTTCATGATATATTTTTGAATACTGCGAATTTTTGCAAGAAAAATCAGTCTCACAGGAGATGTAAATAGTCATCTACTGTCACTGGGGTTTGATTTTTTGCTTTCCAGATTGATCGGAATTAAATCAGTGATTCTTGTATAATTGTTTGTTTGTTTTATTACCATAGTTCTGTAACTCGTACACCACAGAGATCTGAAAATATCTTTTGAATAAAATTAATTAAGATCTGGATTTTTATGTTCATAAAACTTAAGTTCATAATTAAATTTTGCATTATACAAATTTCACTTTTTGTATTTCTCTTCAGAAAAGTGCTTTTCCACACAAAGTAGAATATGGTAATTGAATATTTTAGAAGTATATCATAGTATGTATTATAAAAAGCATTGGGATGACACTTGAAATTTACATTTTTCTCACTGCAAGGATGCCAGCAGTACATCAGTACTACTTTACTGTTTACATTATATTTCAAATGTTCTGTTTCTGGAAGCACTGTATTTATTTAAGAGCTTTTATTCACAATTAATTATTTACTTAAGCAAATGCAAGCCTCTACTCACGCATACCTTAGAAATAAAAGGAATATGTATTCTTGTGTAAGGCTTAATTAATTTTATAAGCACTTGTGTTCTGATGTTTCGCAAAAGCTCTGTAAGAGAAGAAAAAATAAGTACTATAAAACCAACAGTACTGAAATAAAGAGGCAGTACAGCTCCATATAGAAAGATACCCTATATACCATGATCTTTTAAGGCAGTCATTCAGTGAGGTGGGAAAAGATAAAGCACAATAAAGGGACCCTCTTTTTCCAGGGATCCCAGGCATTGTTTTAGAAATTTTTACATTATTGAGTGAAAACATGAATTACAATTGTAAATTAACAGAAAGAGCTAGAGCCAGTTTTATTTAACTAGTTACACAAGGACTCTTTAGATATTGAAAAATAATGCTGAAGACCAGATTATGTACCTCAGTAAAACTAAGGAAATTAAAACAATGAGGCAAGGTATATAAACATCATAATGACAAACGTACATGCTGTATTACTACAGAGTGAAAAAGATGAGAATGTCTTTTCCCCCTGGCTACCACTAGCAGACTATTATCATATAAGGGGGACAACTAAAATTCTCCTCAGTCCTTTGATTCTGTCCTCCTCCTCCTCTTGCTTTCCAGCTCTGTCATACTTTCTTTTTTGAGCATACAACTTTCTAATTGCACAGTCTCCCTAACAAGACTTTGAAGATTACCAGTAGTCAACACTTAACAGCAGCAGAGGGTTATATTTGGTTTCCCCTGCTGTGTGCCATGTTCTCTCTCAAAAATGAGAAGCGTAAGAAAACCAGGTCTCTGGATTTAACTCTTTTCTTTCATGTAACTATCCAGCTAAATTATCTTGCAATGCCCAAGAAAGCCCTACTTTTGATGAAAACTGTAGTTATCTGAAAAACTGGACAATATATTCAGGTGAAGAGACTTTTAAATTCTCAGATATATGATAAATGAATGGGGTAACTAGTTTGCGATGTTAATGGAACAGCAGGGCATGTGTTAGTGTGTCCCCCTGTTTTATTAAGTATATACATACTATAAACATTGTTTTCAACATATACATTACATATTATGTATCCCGATATATACTTTATTACTGCACATTTATTAATAAAACCTTCATTATATTGTCTACATATTTTGTCTTTAATCTGAAGTAGAAAATTAACCTTATAAACTAGCAGACATCTAATGGTTGAGACTGACACAAGCCACCTTTACAAGCGAGGGTTGCCCTCATTTCATTCTTCCAATGGAAAAAAAACACCACTCAAACTATTCAGTGCCTAACACCTTATCTGCTATTATCTGAGAATATCTGCTCTTGATAGAACTTTCTCCATCCGTCCTGCAATTCTTTGCAGTCATTCTACATGCCTGGATGTATGTTGGCCTTAATTAGCTACTACAGAACTTGGAAAGGGTAAAGGAATCATCCACAAGTAATTTCAAAGAACTCTCATTCTGCCAAGAAGGAAAATAAACCATAGAAAAAGGATTTAAGAAAAAAAAAAAAGAAAAAAGAAAAAAGATACATTTACCAAGTTGTGAAAACAGAAAGGATTAAAACTACCTTCAATATGCTCCCTTATGAAGGGATCGTCCATGATGTTGCTGTGATTTGTTTTCAGAATCTTCTCAAATTCGGTGATATCATTATTCTGATAGGCACTTAAAAAAAAACAAACAAACAAAAAACAACAGGAGACCAAATTATTATTTTTAAAAGTTAAAGACTTGTAACACTGTGTTCTCTATCTTCTGAAAAAAAACCAACAACCCTGTATTAAGTGTTTGTGGCAAATTATATTGAGAACCTTTTTACAGAACAACCATTTCAAGACAAGATGCAACAAAAATTACCTTTCTTCTACTTCAGTTTTAGCAGCATTTACAAATGTTTAGTATGAACATTTATTTCACAAGTGCAATCTAGTTGCAAGACTTTTGTACTTTATGATTTTATTCTTTTAAACAGCCTAGAACCTAAAGATAGCCAATTTTGAAAAGTAACTTTACATGAATTTGGGCTTCATGACGCCACACTTTATGGAACAAGGAAGAGCTAAAAAGAGTCAAGAGGGTTGTTGCCATCTCTAGAATGTCCATCTTAAACTGAATTCTACAAATACTGGAAGATGGAAGAAATCTTGACTTCCATGATTAACCATCAGTAATCCTGGTCTAATATTACTTTTTAGGTTTTTATTTATAGCTTATTTTCAGTATATATACCATTTAACTAGTAAACTTTGTTATCTGAGAAAGGATTACAAAAATAAAGTAGGTTTAGATACCTATGGTTCAGTAGTAGCACCACAGCATCATTTAAAGGTACAAGCTGTAACCACTGAAAGATCTTTCTCTTGAAATATAATGGGTTTACAATTCAAAACTATCATCTTTTCTTAGAGGAACAGGGTGCTGTAATGTGAACCATCTACTTACTAATCAAATTTTCACAATAAATTAGTTACATTAAGCTACAGGCTATCAATATTTAACCTGAAAGACAATGTTCAATACATGCCTTCAATGTCTGTTTAATTCTAACTTCAAACATCTTACCATCAATATGCATTTTCCCTTCATAGTTTCTGTACATTTTCAAACTGCTTTTAAACTGGTCAAAAAAAAAAAGTCACCCCCTATTATCAATAAAATGGGCAAGAAAAGGGCCTCTTAAATTTTAAGGTGGAAGTTGAGGAGTTCATAAATGGAGTTGTATGAATGGAATGGACAGCATCACATAAAAAATTGGTCAATTTTACTTTACAAATAACAGGAATTTTAGTCAAGTATATTAGATTGTTTATTCCAGAAGTCTCTTTGATCATATGTAAAACATCCAAATTCCTAATGTAGAGTATAGGAAAAATTCAAAACATAACTTTAATCTTTGGATTTGATTTTATCTCTTCATATTTATGTACACTGCTTTACTTGTATTATTAATTTTAAAGAAGCAGTTATACTAAATGTCAAGATACAAATTAGGAATATGAATAAAATCAGATTGGTAAGGCCATCTGGACTTTCTTCTGCCTCAAATACACAAGAAACTATGACAGTGAGGTAGAAAAGACATGTCTAAAGTGGAATTACTTAAAACAGTTCCTTAATAAACTACCAAGTAATTTATTCATTATATCAATAAGCAAAATCCTCACTCTCAAAACCAATTTGTATGCATACAATGGTACAGCACCATAGCAGTATCAGAGCAAGGTTTGTTCCAAAATGAGATCAACTGTGTATTTCACAACGTGAGCAGGCATTACTTCTTATGTAATGAAAAGGTGGGACAAGTTTTCTTATGCACTATTCATTTTTTTTAACTTGATAGAGCAAAAGCAGGATAGAGTGGATGGGACAGGTTATTGTCAAAGCACAGTAGACAAAAACTGTCTCAGTTCTATTTATTTTGCTCAAATGATCTTAATGTACTAAAATTTCTCACATCGAAGTTGCCTCAAGAAGACAATGAAGCCTTCTTTCGAATTTCACATATGTTTGAAGGATAAGGGAGATGACTTGAGAATTCAGTTTTGTATTCCTAAATTGTGAAACTCCTTTAGTAATCGTGACAGATCCGTGCACGCAATTCCACTTCTGGCTTTGGTATGAGATGTCAATCATCTCAGTTTCTCATATACAAAAAACCCCAGGAAGACCAGCTGCAGTACAAGCTGGGGCAGGTAACTTTATTTAAAGTTAAAAAATTAGGGTTTTTCCACTGCATTAAGAAATTCAGCACAGTAGAAGACAATAGCGTCTCTCTGTACCTCTACCTGGTATAGTATAGATACTTCGGTATGTTGCAGTAAATAGAAGTTCCTTAAGAAAAATAGTCAGTATATGAATATTTGCCCAATATTTATGAAATACCTATGTCATCTGTGAAGAGAAAACCATCTCTAAAAATACTCCATTCCTGGTTGGGACACTACATCTTTTTATTTTTGCTTCTTCAAAAAAATTAAAACCTTACCTTACTAAATTTGTCATTGCTAGAATCTCTGGATCATTTTTGTATGGTTTAGCCTATATAGAACAGAAAACACAATATACATGTTTAGATTTAAAATATTTTCTTCCATTTTTATATTTTGGGTAATTTATCTATCACTTCAGAAAGGGAGGTGAGAAGAAAAATAAAAATACCTCCTGAGAGTCAAATGGATTTATTCCAGATTTCATAAGCATGTTTGCTAAGACCAAGTATTTTAAGCAAGTGGTTCTTCTGGGGCTCCCTGATTCATCATAATTCTTGAATGCTTCAAAAAAATCAGTATGTGCCTTTTCAAACTCTCCTTCTCTTAAGTGCATTTTGCCTCCACATTCTGAAAAGAAAACACAGATGAGGAGAAAAGGAACACTGCGTGCTTGTTGCTGACTACAATAATTGTCCTCGGAAGTTCCACATGATTTCTAAACAGACTACTGGAATTTTTTCAGGAGTCTTTTCATTCTCTGAAATCACTAGGAAAAAAAAAAACAAGTAAGGGTGTTCACCTATGCCATTACCATTTAAATAAACCCATTCCAAAGAAGAAAAAACAAAACCCAACCCACACCATAAATTTTAAAGAACACTAATCCTCACAGCCAATAATTACTTCAACCTTAGGTTAAAATACTTTGAAAACTGAAATAGAATAGATACCCATTTCAAAGGCAACAGACTTCTTGTATTTATGGAATTTTCCCTATCTGTTGAGCAAAACAACACACTAAAATGGAGAAATAATCTCTATCTCCTTATATTTCTCAAGTACACACTACTACCTGATTGTCTGCAAGTGCCTACACCAGGGGAAGAAGGAAGGCACAACAGTATTCTGGAGAAAATTTTTTTCAAGACACGCAGCATGTTTCCACCATAATTTGTTACAGATAATAGATAATATTTTCAAATACTTCTTAAAGCTCTTCAGCTCCTGATGAATTTTAGTGAAGTGAGACATGGAGCACAAATTTACAAAAGGAGATTGCACAAATAGCATTCCCCTTTGCTAGCAGTCCTGTCAAGCCATTCTTTTTATCCTGTGCATTTATCCTTTGTTGCCTGCCATGGTGTCAAACAGCTCAAATCTTCCTCTCATTCTTCTGTTGCTTCTTTCCTACACTATATGTAGCCACTGTCCCGTCCTTCTGACCAGTGCATCTACATGCATCACTGCATTATTAAGTCCTTTACTCATACACAGTTTGTCTGCCTCTGAATCTACAGAATCCTCTGTCTTTATAGTTGGAACTGGAAAAAAAACATTAATTATCATTTTCATAGAACTAATCTATGCAACAGAAGTTAAATGAAAAATTAAAGATTAACTTGCCTCTGATAACTCCCATGATCAGTGGATGAGGAATGGCTGACTTGATGTGCAATGACTGTTCATATAGTGCTTTAAGTTTTTTGTTATTTTTCTGTGCTGTATACATTTGAATTTCCAAAGCATAGATTTCCAATAGTTGAGTACCTTTTTTTAGATCATCTTCCCCATCATCAGTCTAGGATAGATTAAGTAATAAATACTGTGAAATTTTAAGAGAACAGTGATTTCAGTTTTTTAGTAGTAAAAAACCTGATTACCAAATACTATCATTAATTCCCCATCAGAAATAAGGATAGTCCTAAAACGTCAGAATTTTGATATAGCTATTAACACAAAAAATAATACCCGAAGAACTTATCACAGCCCAAGTTTTGAAGCCCTTTATTTAAAAAGAACTTAGCGCTTCATTCTTTTCCACTTTCCTTAAACCATGCTCTCTGTATATAAATGCAGTGACTGACACACATACATATCTAGTGATAATACATATGACTCTTCTGTTGCCTGTAACAAAACCCATTTCCCAGATATATGTAACGCATTCTCCATGCTGGAGGAAGAAAAGGGGACACAAACAAGCCTAGCAGACTGTACAGCCAATTCTCCCTCCCTGCCTCTTCAAATGGAAAAGTAACAACTGTACTTTCAGTTTTGAGTAAAGCTCACTTGGAAACCTCACTATATTTTAAAATAAATGTCTATGCATTATAAATTATTCATATGTGCTTCTCATCCTTGCATACAACCAAAAGGTTGTAAATAGTTTTGTTTAAATCATCTTTAAGCAATGATTAAAACACTTCTCATTTTTTGTTCATGTTACCAGATAACAAATTAAAGCAGGCACAGTATTTCTTCCCTCTGTAATAAAACTCAGCAATATGCCTCGAAGGCCAGCAGCAGATGTAACAAAGTCCATGTTGTTTACTAAGCTATAGTGATTTAGAATATAAAGATACCTGGCATGACTGATGCAGCTGACGCAAAATCTTCTGTAACTTTCCATATTCTTCTCGTTCTAAATATAATTTGCCAAGCTGAAATGAAAAAGAAGTTGAAGTACTACAGACTATTAAGATTTCAAAATTATCACTCATAAGAGTTAGCTGAAGGTGTCACAAAAAAAGCAAAAAACAGTATATATTTTACCTTTGTGTTTGTCTTAAACCACAATCTATCATTCTTAGCATCTTTCAGAGCTTCAAGTGTTGTTTCATAGAATTCCTGAAGCAAATCCATCTGACATAAAAAATCAGAATTCTATAATTGTAAACAGCAAATTTGTACCTGTTAATAAAGTCAACCTGAACAAACTAGAAGTGCATGCTTGAACTTATCTGCATCTTACTGAATGTCTGCTTTTAAGTCATAAAAATCTTCTAAAGTTGAAAAATGAAGTACACTTTTCTCTTCTATGAAACAGATATAATTAAAAAGTAGTCACATTTTAAGATTTGTAGCCATCTATCACGCTAGTAATAAAGAAAGCCACCTTATACAAGCCCATCTTACATAACGAAGTAATAAAATTCTTGTGTAACAAAAACACAGGCAACATTGCTCCTACTTAAAAGAATAAAAAATAATTTACATATCAAAAAGAAAATATGATTTACAAAAAGAGAGAAATGGTCAAAGGAAAAGATATTTTCTCCTTTCTGTACTACCAATACTGTATGAAAGAAGGCTCTTGAGCACAGCAAACTGCTTCTTTGCATAAAACCTGAAAAGGCATCATCCAATATGGAAATCCAAGGTCTGTGTGCCCTTTAATAAAGGTTCTAATACATTAGAATTTTTTTTATGGCCACTGTTCTTTTGGGGATAACAGATCTGTGGCTATACCTCAAGTTATGATTTCTGGATTGTGCCTCCAGGTCTGACTCCAGGGGCCTACAGACCAAACAGACTGACCTCTGCCAACAAGGTACAGTCGATAAGCCAACCCTTTATACCTTGAGACTAAACTACCTTCAGCTATTGAACATTCATTTCCCCGAGTGGCAGAAGAGGAAGGATTGTGATAATGACAGAAGACTCATCACTGAAGACCAGTGATCCTCCATATGCAGGTGCTACTTCCAGGTAGTCAGCTAGAGGAGTTTTCTACTCTCCAGAAGGCTTCCACAACACAGAAGACAAGGAGCTGGGCTATGTAGCTATGAACATGTACCTAGCTTGCATAGAACGCTTAGAGACAGGCACTATTTAACACCAGCACATCATTGCAGATTTTCAACGGTTCCCCTTTCCCTCCAAAGTAAACAAAAGTGTTGCTTAATTACAAAATATATTTGAGAAGGCACCTACAGCATGTGGCTATTATGCTTTAAAAAAAAAGAATTTACTATAGCATAAATATTAGCATAAAAATCCCAGTTAAATATTACAAAAAAGACAATTTTATGGGAAGTTATCTGTGTTGACAGAATCCATTAAATCTGGAAAATGTATTTTACTATATATGACAACAAGTCCTAAACCAACAGACCATCCTACAAAAAAAAAAAAAAAAAAGGCCATAGTTAAAAACGCAAAAATGAAAGACATGAAGATGAAAGAACTGATGATCTAACCTGCTTGGAAGTAGAGATATAATCAAGAATGGAATTGATGGACTTTTCAGAGTAATTCCTTGTAACTGCACTCCGTATGTAGGTCAACAGCTGTTTATATCTGTTCATCATTTCAGGAAAGTTAGTCTAAAAGAAAAACAAAATTACATTATAATTTTTTTTTAATGCCTAAAAACTGAGTCACATCTTGCAAATACACATACAGAAAAGCAAGTATAACAGAAAGACTACACACTAGTGGTTGCTGTTAGGAACTTTTACATCACCACTTCATTCACAAGCAGCAGAATCAGGAATAACTTCAGCAAGACTGCATGGAACAGACATTTAAAATCTTTATCTCAACAAAGAAAACTGAGTTGGCTATACAACTATTTGGAATGGCTGCATCTCTGTAGCATGTAAATTTTTTTTACTGGAAGCACACATATATAGAAACAGTACCGGTTTCAATGGTATGATAACTCAGGATAGCAAGGATTGAGCCTCAGAGTATCAGCTGATTACAGCAGCTATTTTGCATCCATTTTGCCGTTGACTTGCAATCACCACATAATTTCCCTGCCACGTCTGTAGCAGCCATTAAAGGCTGCAAAAGACAAGTTCTGGCAGAGTGAGTTGTCATAGCCATAAATCAGAATAATAACTCACTATTTCTGGATCAAATATGTATTTATGCTATTTAGTCTCAAGTGATAGCTGTAATTCCTACCAATTTAAAGTTTATTTTAATCATCTGCTTCAGAGCTTTGAATCCCCATTCTCCTTTTTCACCTTCAAGCTCCAAAACCTGAAATAGAAGAATTTTGAAAACAATATTTCTAAAAGCTTTATTCAAACTTGAAATTGATTTGTATCTTGTTTAAGACATACACATCCCATAATTGCCTTCCCCTCCCTTCCCCTTTGTTCCTTACAAAGTACTAGTTCACTCTGCTGTTATTCGATTTTCCTCTTCCCTGATATTACTGAGCAAGTTAGTGAGGGGCATGTATCTTACTAGTTTTCACAACTTAGCTGATGTAGGGAAGGTGAATTGTTATTTATAGATTTTCATTGTTGTTGTGCAACAGCAAACACTAAACTTTAATGCCACACCATAAATATTTATGTACACAAAAAAAGTTGTAACATCCTCACAAAACCGACTCAACCCTCCCTCTTGATCAAATTAGTAAAAAATTTACAATTTTGAATTATTATATTTTTTTCACATATTGGAAATGCTTCTAGGCTTTCATATAACATAGTTAAGGGAATGTTCTCTAAGTAAAAAATTTAAAAAGTCTTAAAGTCATGTATATAGTACTGTTACATACTACAAAAAAGCCAAAAGATTCAAAAATATATTTTTTCTTTAAAAAGTTACAAGTAACGTATTGCTTTCTGGTGGCAGTGTGTAAACATTTAAAATTTAAAACTGGCACAAAAGAAGGAAAGTCTGTGTCACTTAGTATTTATACATTTAAAGCTCTGGAATCAGATAGCAAACCAAATATAATACATTACATAAGACACTGGGGAAAATGCCATTTCATTTTAAAAAACAAGTGGATCTGGCTTCTATAGCTGACATATGAAAACACATTTAGAACTGTTTAATTAACTCAGCAAACCCTGAAGACTAAAAACCTGGTTCTATGCCATGTCCTATTTATACTCCCTAAGAACGAATCCAAAAGGGAGTCAGTCAGGAGTCTAAGTTGTCCAATGATAAACACAGCACATTAGTAAGTTACAATATAAACGTTACTCTTAAAATTCCAGAAAATAACTCAAATGGGAAGCAAGTATTTTTAAATGTGAATTAATATAAAAGTAAGAGGTAGAATATAAAGATAGAAAACCTTCTGAAAACTGCTTAATGCTGCTTTGGGATCATCTTCCTTCAGAGCTTTGGAGTTGTAGTATTGATTTTCCAGATCCACATTTGGTTCAGAATTGCTGTCCTCAGAATATTCCTATGTTTTAAGGAAAAAAGAAAAAAAAAAAAAATCAAAAGTCAGAGAGAAAAAAAAAAGAACGGTTCAGAACATCTAACATTTTGCTGAAAAAGAATAACATATAGTAAGGCATATTGTTAAAACTGACATGGAATGTCTCTATATTAAGCAGTACTGACTTCAGTTTTAGAGCATGTAACAGGTATGGACTCTTATGATGATTTAATCTCTCTCATTACTAGGCCAGCCTCACCATCCAACAACACTTGCCTGTCAACAGGTTTCTTTTTGGACTAATGAACTCATAGCTCTAACCAGCTTCACCTTTAAGACAAGTACAGACTTTATTATTACAATCCTGTGAATTTTGGTGTTTAAGGACAGACACCTAATAACATACGTCATTTCTGTATCAGGGAGAGAGCATGCTAGCCACTAGTCTTCTAAAAGATGCTCTGTTGTATGACCTTTGCTACCCACGGAAAGGACTCTGGCTGAGCTGCCACACAAGTAATGATTCAGCAATGGAGGATATAAAATGCTTCCATGAATCACTCCCTAATCTGCCTTTTTATGCTGTAACGATTTTTACTTGTCTAAGGAAATTTAAAAAAAAAAAAAAAGAATAATGACAATAACACCAGCTGCTTCTGTGCTGAGAAGCGGGAGATGATTGAGAAAATGCTGAAGATACTGCCAAAGAGGGTGGGGTGGGGTATAGGCACAATGATTTAATCAAATAATTAACCATCATTTACAGTAGCACCAAACAAATTGAAGAATTTACTTCTACCAATTACTGCTTCATTAGAAAGAAAAAAACAACAACATGTATTCTGAGGCTTTTTGTGATGAATGAAACTTTTATATTCTTTTGCTGAAGCACAATATTGTGAGTCTGAATTACAATAATTTAATTTAAGGTTTCCATGACTCAAAAATATTTCACACCTCTGCATTTACAAGCCAACTTCTCCCAACATTGCTTAGCTATTAGGAGATGAACTGAATCTATTCAGATCTCAAAATCACTGTTGTCAAAGAGTAACTCAACCTTCCCTTGTAACAATATAAACAGTGCATAGTCAGATGCTCTTCTTTTAAGTTGGATTTTCTTCTTTCACTATACTTCTTCATCAGGCACATTTTTCTTTTGTTCATTCATATATTGCTAATATTAATGAACTCCTTCAAAACCATGGACAGGAATGAAAAAAAGATGAGGCAAAAGAGAAGTTTTAAATTAGTTCTCTCTTCCCTACAGTGCCAGTGAATCTTTCTAAGTTTAAGTTTTCTCAAGTTCTAATGGAAAAATTAATTATGGAAGCTCACAGTTGGCCCAAATTTTACTAAACATGGTCCCTGAGACATCTATCCTTCAACCTCCTAATGTTTCTATGTGTTACATGTAGGCAAGTTACTCACATGGAATTATTAATATTCACATAGGTATACACATATGTATTTATTTATATTCACAGGAAATATTAGCATTAGTATTTGCCTAGTAAATTCCACAAATGTGTTTTCTGAATTCCCAGAGAACTATAAAACCTAATACTGAAAACCGCAAAGAAAACAGGAAGCAAGTGTCTTATTTCATTGGGCAGAGTTTTGTTTTGGTTAGCCTGTTTTCATAAATTCTTTACCCTATTGATCCAACATTGATGAAGCGGCTACAAGAAGGTGCACATGATGTCAACAGCTGTAAGTGTATTGGGGACCTCACGACAGCCTAGGCTGCCAAAGCTTAAACAGCATAGCTTTTAAGATACGTCAGCTGATGTCTCGTTTATACTAAAGTTAAACGATGGGGAGTATTTTTGGCAGAAGTATCTATTTGTAAAGATAAAAGGAAATCAAATGACATTAATTCCTTTTATGAAGCAATGTGCTCTATTAGCCTAAAGCCAGAAATATCCAAATTTTTATCTTAGCTTTAGAAGTGATTCTGGATGTGGACTCTTTTTTCCGATCATTCTTCTCAGTGCTACTTAAATACCTCATAATATTAATAAAGTATAAATGTTAAGTCTAGAGATTTTTTTTTTTTTTTTCTAATGGAAACACTTTGAAATGCATCAAAGGGAGTGTTCAATGGTTTCACAGATATGCTTTTCCTTCACTTGATGCCTGTTTGTCTCACTTTGAATTTAGTAGGTTGATAAAGACTCAAAGCTCTAAGGGTTTCAGTTAAGGCTTTCATACTTCCAGAAAATGTAAAGTAAGGTGCTTACTTTAAAAGATGTATTTATTTAACGGCTATGAAGAAAATTCGAAAACCGTGAACTAAGTATACTTTGAATATATAGACAACTTAAAAAATCAGCCATGTAGATATGGCATCTTACTTTAAGCATCACTGCCAACTATGCCAGCGCTAACCTATTCATCAGGACCAGCACGCTGATGCAGAGATGGCTTAGTGCAGTATGCTACAAATGTGAGAACGTTCAGCTTTTGCCAAAAGCAAAAAGGAGGAAAGAAAAAGTGTGAAGCTATATCCTCAAAGTTCAAGCTAAGAAAAATGTGCATTTCTTTCCCAGTACTAAAACCAGAAAAGTTCCTTTAACAGTAACTCGGATACTAACTGCCTAACCTTTCCTTACCCTCATTTTTAACAGGCCTGCTTCCTGCTACCTGACTCAACCCTTTCAGGTAGAAAGTTTGTTGCATTCAGCAATGCAGTACCAAGATAAAAGTGCACAAAAATTAGGTAGAATATCAGGTTTATAAAATGGGTTTCTACAAAATCCTAAAAATCTCTAACACCTAGTTCCTGATATTCTGCATAGTGAAGAACAGCCTTAACTATCACTTCCAAGATATAAAAGCACCTGTGCAATATACTTTAGCTCCAGCTGATATCAAAAAAGTAACAGACCTAAGAATTTTTTTTATTAAGATCTTGGTGGTATTTTTTAAATAGACATCAACACTATCAGTAAAAATTAAAACAGAAGTCTGAGTGTGCAGAACTGATATTTGAAACCCATTTAGTTCTCCCTTCCTGAGAAGATCAAAACAAGGAAATGTTGGGGCTTTTTAAAATTATTACTCATAAAATTATAACGCCCTGATATTTCATAACTACATTTTTAAAAAGCTATAAGACATTACTTAACATTGCCCCATTGAAAATGTGCACGTTCTAAATGTTGTCAGTTATAAACAGTCCAATCCAATCACATCACTTTTAGGCGGGAAGAAAAAATTACTACACTAGCTCAACTGTAATGGAGATAAAACCTCTGATGTAGCTTACTCTGCCTGGAACGTAGTTCTTTTAATACAAGTTAAACCTGTACTAAGGAACTAATTTACAAGTCTCCACCGTATTACGTACTAAGTTTTCACAAAATACATTTCATCTAGCAAACAGTTTTAAAACACTAAGCCTCAGCTTCCAAAATGAACACATGCAGAAGACAATTCACCCTGGACAGCTTTAATAATCCTTTTCAGGGCACGGATCCACTTGCAGTTTCTTCAGCAGCAAAGCCAGGTTAAGAGCATCCAGCTCTCCCTGAACCTCCCTGTTCACTTCTGGTCCTAGCATCCCCTTTCTCCTTCACTGCAGCAATTCAGCACTTTAGGCTGTACGAGTCCTTGACAAGGGCCGATCCTTCTTGGATTTAGAGAACAAGCCACCTAATGCTTACACAGATGCCATCCTGAGGCTGGTGAGCTATGGCGCAGGGGCAGGTGACCAGGGAGGGTAAAAAAAAAACAACAGCTGTGGCTTCAGAAAACTGTAGCAGAAGCCTCAGTCAATGTGGTCTTGAGAGATTATAGAGGTCTTGAAGCATGGCACCTCTCCCCACCAACAGAGTAAGGTACATGAACTTGGAGACCGCAGCACTGTATCAGTGACATTTAACAGCACATTTGTGGAATTTAGAAGATTAAAGAGACTCTTGCTTCTCTCGATATCATTCACTAGCTGTACAGAAACCAAAATCCTACTTGGCAAACCTCCTTTTTCCAAAAAAAAGAAAAAGGGGAAAAAAAAAAAAAAGTAGCTATACAGAGGATAAATTTCCAGACAAAAGGCACAAAGTGTTCTATTGCCGTACAAATTTATCCTTCAAGGACATTGTTAATACTTACTACTGTCAATTTTCAATTGCTGGTAATTTTGCCAAGTTTCAACCATCGGGCTGACTTAAACCATTTTTTTTTTATAAAGTGCAATTGTGTTTCTGAGAATAAGTCTGGTACAAATTTTGGTTTACTTCAGCTAACTTTGTTTCATAACTATGGCATTTAGAAGGTCTGCTAACTCTAGGGTTTGGAGCAAAGACCTGATAGTTTGTAAGAGCACTGGTGATGGGGTGGGAGCAGGTTTGTTGGGTGGGGTTTTTTTAATATTTTTTAAAATTATTTTTTAACAACACAAAAAAGCCCAAAATGAGCCCAATTGGGGGAAGAAAGGGGGGGAGGGCGCACAAAGGAAAAGAAAATAATTGAATATATATTAGTTTGCCAGCAAAATTTCTTGAACATTTCATCTACACTGAACACGCAGGATTTTCACATGGCTCATATGCACTGGCTGCAAAAGTGACAAACCAAACAGCATCCCTGTGCTAAGTCCAACTCTCTCTGCAATTGCTCTTCCTCAAGCACAGGCCGCCAGACACCAGGACAAAAAGCAAATCACAGTTTCTATGTGCCTTTGCCACTGGTATCCAGGCACATGAATATAAAGAAAGCAATCAGACTGGAATGCAGAAGAGTGAGGAGGAATAGAACACAGACAAACCCTGAGAGTGAAACCAAGACTGATTTGTGTACAGTCTGCAACCATACAACCATGCATCAGGAGTCCTGGTTTTCTTTTCCACATTCCAGGTCTCTCTGCTCTTCTGCTCCTACTCCCTAACTCTGCAAGTCACCTAGTGCCTACTGGCTCAGGCCGGGGCTGACACCAGGAATAAGGACTCTGTGAAGCCAGTGACTTGCAGTGGTGTCAGTACAGCTCCATGGAAAGGCCTTTCTCTTTTAAGCAGA